TTTAAAAATAAGTATTGGATCTTAATGAATAAAACATTTAACAAAGCTTTAATAAAATATACTATATTTTATAAAAGGCATAAATCCACAGCAACTTAGATTTTCAAATTAACTATTATATTATATTATGATATCAGTATCATGAGAGACTAGGTTTAAAGGCTCAAAAAAAGCTGTATACTTTTTGGCCTTTCCTTACCTGCTGGAAGTGTGGTTCACTTTCAGTCTTTGTCTTTGCAGTCTGGATGAACGCAGACATGTTTAAGCATGTCACAAAAGATGAGAGGAAGATTTTCCTTGCTTTAAGCAGCTTCTAACAGCTTATATGTTTCCTCTGGCTCTAAACAACTAAATGATACAGAAAACACAGTCTTCTTTCACCAATAAAGCAACATGCTTTTCTACCAGCAAGTCCTCCTTTGGGGTTTTTAAGCTAAAAAAATAAATAAATCTGGTCACTAAATGATTTTTTTGGGCAGTTAGTGGTTTTTAAATTCACAAAATCCCAAATATGCTAAACTATATGATTAAAAAATGCTGAACACTGCAAAAGCGATCTAGAAATAAGTAAAAATTTCTTAAATTAAGTATATTTACCCTTAATTTGAGTAGGTAAATAAGATGACTTGCCAATGGAATTATATTTTTTACTCTTAAAATAAGATTTTTTTCCTATATTGAATGTAAGTGTTCTTATTGCATTGGCAAAGTGTCTCACTTACCTACTCAGTTCAAGAAAAAGGCACTTATTTAGATTTCAATTTTTTGCAGTGTACCTTTAGGTCCCAGAAGGACCAAATTACAAATGCTCGTACCCAGACACATTTACTTCAGATTACTCTGAGCGCATCACCTGACCTCATCCTAACTCTTCCAGCAGTCGGAAGCAGAGGAAGCAACAGATGGTAGATGAGTGCGGCGTGGAGCAAAGGGGGCAGGGGGGAGCTGATGAAACTCCGTTGTCTGGGATTCCAGCAGGATTAAGCAGAGGAAGCTACGACTTTATTTGCGGGGGAAGCTACAGACGAGACCTGAAAGTGATGTTATTGCACGCACTAAATGATTTACACATGTACACAAACAGCACACTTTTACATCTCTGCTGAGATTTTCTAAATGCACATTTAACATAGTACGGCTTACAGCGGTGTGTGTATGAGGAATAGTGGGACAAAGAGTGTCTTGTGCTTTAGGGATGGGTTGGGGGGTAGTTGGTCCTGCTGGGTCCAATCCTGGGGGCCATAGATGGGAATTTTCTGTGTGTGTATTTATGTGTGCGCGTCTTTGTGTGCATGAGCAGAGGAATGCTGCTGTTTGCTGAGTGAAGAGCACGGAGGCAGCAGAGACTGTCTAAACACACGTCTGTTTGCTAAGAATGTGTGTGCGTCCGTGAGAGGGTAACTCTGAGAGTATGTGTGAGCAATGTGGAAAGTGTGCTGTGAGCAGCGATGGAAAAGGTTTGGAGGGACTCTGTGTGTGCAATGTGCTCTCCCTATGCCATGACCTTCTTTTCAATGACTACTTTCATATCCCGGGCTGCTCCCCAGGGTAAGATGCAGGTGGCAGTGAATAAGGCCTGTCTTTGCCTACCCTGTGACCTACTCACTGCACCCAGCACTGGACCACACGGCAGACTTTGCTCAAGTTGTGTTAGTCTGAGTGTTTTCTGTACTGTTACCTGTTTGTTTGGTTGGGAAGGAGAAGGAAAAGAGCAACTGGAGCAAAGGGAGGTGGAAAGAAGTTGACCATCCAATGGGGAATGTGGAAAAGATGAAGTTAGGAGGAATGAAGGATGTGAGTAATGGCTGGTGTAAAATTGGGAGATTCACATAGTTGAGATAAAAAAAAAAATAGTATGGGATTGAGTGAGTCAGAGCAAAGTAATTAAGATGTTGGACTCATTTTGGAAGGAAAGAAGGTAAGCGTAATGGCAGTGGCTATCTAAACACTCTGAAACTTTCATGGTTAAGTTTTTCCATCAACTGACGATTAACACATCTTTAAAGTATCACATTTGATCAGGTTTTAGGAATCCTTTAACACGTGTTGAGGTGGGCAGAAAATATTAGCATGTTTTCATTCTTGTGCGTGTGGGTTTTCAGTTAGCGAGGGCCTCCTGTGCATATGCACCTCCGCTGTGTGATTTATTCTAAGGCCAGTTCTGCTTCAAGCTGTCCCGGAGGGGGCCGTATGACTTTAACAGCCGCAGACCTCCATCACAGAGAGGCAGAGCAGGAGAGACATGGGAGATTTTTGGAGAAGGGAGATATGGACAGTGGAAAAGTCAACATATTTTTTTAGTCTGCTGATTCTATTAAGAACATTTGTACTTCACTTTCTCAGCAGAGATTTAATTTGATCTTTTAATAATTTACCCCTGAGTTTCACCGTTGAAGATATGCTGATATTTCTAAACAAGATAATGTCAAAAGAAAGATAAACTACACATAACTTTTTTTTTTTTTTGACAAAATGAAAAACAGAATGTGAGTTAGAAAACAACTATTAGAAATCACCCTAAACATAATAATCTTTGAAACCTTGTAGTGGCTGCATGCTGTGGTGATGCATTTCCTTCAGAACTAAAAGAAAAGCTGCTTAGAATGAAGACCATGATAAATAAAAAATAACAGGTCCAAAATCTGCTTGAGGCCATGGGCGGTTCTAGACAGGGGCCAGTGCCACCATAGAACTGGTCCTGCCCCTCTCTTATGGTCCCTGTGCCGAATATCTAATACAGAATACAATTATGATATAAACGATACATTATTATGAGCACTAAAACAGAAATCCTAGCTGATGAGTCCTTTGTAATATTAACTTTTTTTATTTCTTACAGTTTTATTTATTGATGATTTTAATAAATGGGCTGCAAGGTGGTGATGTTTGTAGCACTGTTGCCTTGCAGCAAGAAGGTTCAGGGTCAGATTCCTGGTCCAGGGTCTTTCTACATGGAGTTTGCATGTTCCCATGCATGCATGGGTTCTCTCCCAGTACTCCGGCTTCCTCCCATAGTCCAAAAACATGGCTGTTAATTCGCTTCCCTAAATTCTCCTTAGGTGTGAGTTTGTGTATGCATGGTTGTATGGCTGTGTGTGTATCCATGTTGCTCTGTGACAGACTCCAGTGATGTCCACGGTGTACCTTGCCTTTCGCCCATAGACTGCTGGAGATGGGTTCCGGCCCCACCATGACCCTGATGGAAAAATTTGGAAAAGCTGGTTAGATGGGTGGAGGGATAATTTAAACATTAGGTTGTTGTACTTTTAGCTTCCGTCACCTTAGCGTGTTTCCATCTACCTGAAATGAAATTTAAGCAAACTCTTAAAAGTTTAAAAAAAGGAAATTCAAATTTGTGTTTTTTCCATTAGATTTCCAGCGAGTTAACAGAGCACCTTGAAGCATAATTTGTCAAATGTTTCTTTCATGTTACGCTGTCATACTAGCCTGACGTA